GTCCAGTACGGGCGCAACACTGAGGGTTGCGATCCGTTGCCGGTCACGAAAAAAGACAAAAAAAAAAAAAAAGAAGGCACCACTACTAATCCTGTCCATCTAGAATTAAAGATTTGGTTAATAATTCCCAAACTGGAGTCCTTTAATCCTTCCAGAAGAGAAGGGAATCAACATTTACCAACCCTGTATACAGATCCCTTAAAAAAGCATAATAGGTGTACTGGAGATATACTCAATATTTCAAAAAAGCTGAATACAAATTACACATCTATAGAAGTAAAATCTGCAGGCTATTAATAAATGCAGGCTGGTAAATCTTTCAAGACCACTATTTCACCACAATATCCCTTTAAACAGGTCCTCCCTCTGGTGCTTATTCACACATTCAAAAGCCATACAATAGTAATAAGATGGCCTGCATTGTAATGGATCATGTACAAAGTACTACTGAAATACAATGGAAGGAATTAGTTCTGCCTACAAAGGCTTCACAGAAATAACATCTGAGAGTGTCCTAGAAAACTAATTCAGCTCTCTGGGCTGCAGATGCCTTGTAAGTCTGTTTCTGTTTACAAAAATTCACAGAATTTAACTTTAAGTTGGATAAGTCTTTAAAGATCATCTAATCTTGAAGTTTTTCATCTTTAAAGTAACAACAACTTTTCTTCAAAAGTCTAATTGAAACTCCAGTATATAAAACAGGTAAAAGTGGACCTGCTCTTTTGAAAGGGGAGGAATAGTTATTGAAAAACATTGCTGTTCTAATCAACCCTCTTCATTTTAAAACAAGAAAGCTGAGACACTAGGAAGGACAATGACTTGACAAAGTCCACATAAAGACTGAAATGCAAGTTTATTCAAACAGCTTTTAAGCATTATCTCCTCTTTGAAGTATTTCCTAACTTTCTCCCCACGTGGAACTTACTACTCCTTACTTTATGTACCTAGCACGTATTTCCATTATAGCTTCTATAAAATTCTAGTACCCCAAATTTAATTTTTTTATGTGTCTGTGTCCCTCTACTACACTGTAAGTTCCTTGAAGGTCGGAACTGTCTTAATCATCTTTGTATGTCACCCAGAATAAAATGTTATTTATTACATTATATTCGACCAAGTTTCAGAAAAGATATAAACTACCTTGGCGCCTGACACACGGTAGGACTTAAGTATTTGTCAGAAATGAATTTGCAGAAAATTAGGTCATTAAATGAAATAATACATCTAAAGCAGTTAGAACAATATCTGACACACAGTATACATTTTATAACCTATAGCTATTGTTATATAACTTTATAGAGGCAGGGGAAAAAACCTAAAGCCATTACTGAACCTTTAATCTGGAAGACAAAAACTAAGAACCTTTAATCAAGTTTTTAACTTGGTCATTCACGTTACCAATGTTGTACAACCACATCTTTAATGAGACAGAAGGAAAATTAGGCCATCTATACAGATCTCTTGACCCTGGCAGTCTGGGAAAAATAACAAAGAGTTGTGTATTTTTAATCTCTCGACTTTGAGTGAAAGGAGAAATTAGGCCGGTCTTAAACTTGGGGCTAAGTCACTTCTTTCTAGACCTCAGTTTCAGTCAGCTGTCAAACGGGGTTGGTGGCCAGTGAAAAGATTATAGCTAAGGTTCTTTCCTGCTCTAAAACTGTAGGGGCTTTTAACAAATTCGAACCTAGAATCCTTCTTCGGCTTTCGACCCAACATGAGTAAGAACTCTATAAAAATCAGCAATTGATGCACTGGATTTGATGTCAGATGGCCGGGGTTTTCATACCAGCTCTGCTGTTACTTAACTGCGTAATTCTAAGCAAGAAGCAAACTTTCTGGGTCTCAATTTCCTCAACCTGTAAAATGAAGTTGTCGGATAATATGAACTCCATTTAAAATACATCATAGTCATGATATTCTATGAAATAAGCTACCTCTGAAGGAAATATTCAGGTGAGGACTGAGTTACCAATTATTAGAGATGTTTAGAGGATTCCTGAATAAACCAAACGTAGAGAATTTCAGGATTGGAAGAAACCTCACAAGTCTCTACAACTCACCCAACTGAGACCCAAGTCCTCTCTAATTTTTTCTTGGAAGAGGTCACCCGATCACTCTAATAATGGAAGAACTACACATGAAAACAAGTCACTTCATCTTAGGCCAACTGCGATGCAAAGTTCTTTTAGAAGAAGGAAGCCACACCATCCTCCTGCAACTTCCACCCACTAGTTTTACCTCTCTTTCACTTAAGGGCACTTCAAATACTTTTGGATGGTGATACTATGCCCCTTAACTATCTTCTCCTCCAATATTAAAACTCCGTCAACCTTTTCTCATAACAGTACCAAGACACTCTCACCATCCAGCCCGCATTTCTCAGAGAAACCTCCATTCTACATCTAGCGAATGTCAAAATTATTCGAACAGCTCTTCCCATTCTGACATCCTGATACCTTGTGGGACCCAAGATTTCCCACTTGCCCAGCTAACACCACATGGAAGCCCCTAATTACCCTTGCCATCTCCACCCAAGGAAGCAGTTGTAGTGGGCAGTGTGCCCTGTTGCTCCTTCGGGAGATACGGAGGCAAGAAGTGACCGCGGCTCCAACAGAGAGGCCCGCACCCTGTTCTCCCCAGTCCAAACCTCCGCCCTCACCGGTATTGCTTGGGGTCGCTGGGAGACTTGATAATCTCAGGGTCTCCGGCATTACCGAGAGACCCCCTCCGTCCCTCCTCCTCAGATTCATCCGCTCCCACACGGGCAACCCGGCCGCTCTCGCCCAAATCCTGTCCATTGGGCTGCAGATCAGGGCAGCTGCAGGTAGACTTCGCCTTGTTCCTTCCAGGCATGGTCAGGGTAGGAAAGGGTCTGGCAGCAGCAGAGTCTTCGCACCGACCCCGCACTTCGATACTCCACAGCGCCGCGAGCTCCCGTCCGACCTCACACCACAACTTCCTGCGGGTAGAACAGACTGCAGCAATCGTGACTCTCCTCAGCATTCACCAAGCTGGAGCGATGGGCATCCCGCTCCCCAGGGCCCACCTCCTCCTCCTCGAACCACTCCTCCTCCTCCGCGTTCCAGAGGCGGTGGCGGCCGGCGTTGGTGCTGCCGCAGCCGCTGGGGAGGACAGGCCTGAACCCCTACTCCACCAATTCGGTTTCCCTCACGCCAACTTCCCTCATCCCCCACCCTCCCGGCCGTCGATGACGCTACTGGTTTTAGCCAATCACAGGGCAAGAAAGCAGTCACGCGCACGTAAGCAACCAATGGGAACAAGAAAGGAGAGAAACCAGAGACCGGATCGGATTCTTGGAGCGCCCAGGGAGCATTTCGAAACCCACGGTGGGCGGGGCGGGGGAGAAGAGGCGGAGAGAGTGGCGCGGAGGACGTCGGGAGAGTGTGTAGGCAGCTGCGCCGCGTTTGTGACGTACACGGGAAGTTGTTCTAGGGAAAGCTTTGAATAGTGTTCCGCGTGTCAGAGAAAAATGTTCTCCTAACGAGAAAACGGAGAAGCGACTGAATAGCATGAATTCTAAAGTATTTTTTCCATTCATGTGGTATTTTGCGCAACCTTCCCCTCAGACCTGGGGCGGAGGCTTCGGCCGTGACTCAGCACATAAAAACGCAGGACGCCGGAAGTCTTGTTCCGCCCTGCCGGATGAACGCTGCTCCCAAGCGGAGCTGAGTACCGGAAAAAGTTCTGCGCTCTTCCGCTCAGTTGTTTGTCCAACCATGGTCCTTCTTGCCCTCAAGGCCTAAGAAAATGTTTCAGATACGGCCTGAATGTTCTCATTCATCTGTGGGAAAACATTTTTTAGCTCACCCACAGACTTGAGTCCATAGTTAGCCTACTGTTAAGTTCAGCCAACTTTTATTGAGCAGCTGCTGCCCTCAGGTTCCTCATCCCAAATTTTATTCTGCTTACAGTGGCCTTTGGTGGCTAAAATGTGACTGAAACATAGACATAAATGAAAAATAAAAAGCAGCTGACATTAAGAGATACAGTATACTGACGCTATGTGAAAAGAGATCCTAGCACATAACAGGAATGAATATATTTCTGGAGAAAGACTTGAAGCAGGGAGATATGTTGATGGTTATTATGTATTTAAGTTTTTCTAGGCCTGTACCGAGCTCTAGACACACGGAATACAACCATGAACAACACAAAAACCCCTTCGTGGAACCTGCATTCTAATGGGAAGAAACAGGCAATAAAATAAATGATGTATTCAAAAAATAAATGGTATGAAGACAATGTAGTATATATAGGAGGATAAGGGGTTAGGGAAGAGGGGTGCAACGTTTCAGGCAGGAAATGACACCCGAGCTGGGGCAGTAGATAAGGTAAATTGAAAGATATAGTTCAAATACCCCAGTTAGTTTCCATACATCTTTTCAAGAACTTTATCAACTTTATTCAAGTTTTTAAACTTGAGAAACTCTGCTAGATTCCCCTCCTTCAGAACAGTGTTTTTTCTTTGTATCTCAAGTCTCTAGCTTAGCTTTCCAGTATAATAAAGCATTCAGTTAGTAAATGCTGTTGAAAAGATCTTGAAATCTCCAAGAAAATACTTGAAGTGACATGTTTATATTGAAGGGGCTTCCCCCTCCCCTCCAAAGCAATAACGCCATAAGTAAGAATCTTCAAATTCAGCTGGTAATTAAATATTTCTAACTAGAACCAAAGAGAGGTCACATCCTGAAGTGTGACTTTTTCACTTTAAAAAGATGTCTCTAGGGCTGGTTGGTTAGTTCAATTTGTTAGAGCATGATACTGATAACACCGAGGTCCAGGGTTCTGTCCCTGTACTGACCAGCAGCAAAAAAAAAAAAAGAAAAAAAAAAAGAGGTCTCTGAAACTTACATGTCACCAGACTGTAAAAATATAGCAACTACTGTAGTGAGGCATTCCATTACTCATTTAGCCAACAAATTGAGCTCCTACTATGTGCCAGACACTGGGAATAGAGCAATGAACAAGAAATTTCCCTGTTTTGTTGGAGCTTCAGAGAACTAGTGAGAGAGACAGACATTAAACAAGCACACAATTTTTAGATTTATAATTGTGAATAGTTCTAGAAGGGACCTAGCCTGGTCAGAGAGTTTCTCTAAGAAGGGATATTTAATGTAACATTTGAAAAATGTATAGAAATTGCTCAAAAGCTCTGAAAGTGTAGATCAGTATGACTAAACTGTAGTGATCTGGGAACAAAGGGGAAAGGAGTCAATAGCCAAGATCATACAAATCTTCCTAAGAATAAGTAGAAGTCATTGCCTTGTCTATTTTTGTGTAACATCGAATTCCTAGCTGCTAGAATGGTTTCTGTTATGCCGTAGGTACTCAGTTAATAATGGTTGAACAAATGAAAAGAGAAAACACAATCACAAGTGTTTTCCAGGTAGGGCCGGCCTCGTGGCTCACTCGGGTGAGTGCGGTGCTGTTAGCACCGAGGCCGTGGGTTCAGATCCTATATAGGGATGGCCAGTGCGCACACTGGCTGAGCGTGGTGCAGACGACACCAAGCCGAGGGTTGCGATCCCCTTACCGGTAAAAAAAAAAAAAAAAACCAAGTGTTTTCCAAGTAGATCACTCTGGCTGATGTGTGAAAAATGGATTGATGTGTGGGGAACGAAGGAAGACTGGAAGCAAGAAAAGAGAGAGCAATTAGAGTGTTAAAGTAATATAGGCAGTAAGAAATGATAACTTGTATTTGAGGGGTGATAGTGGAGATGGAGAGATTGTGGACAGATACATCATGTATTTAGAAGGTAGAATTGACTGGTTTTGGTTAGTGGTTGATTTGATGTGGGAGAGTGAAGAAGAGAGAAGTGTCAGGTTTTCTGGTGTCTGTTTTCTGGGTAAATAGATGATAGTGCCAGTAACTCAGTGAACAGGACATTCTGAAAAAGGAGCAGATTTGGGAAGAGAATAGCATTAGCTCAGTTTTGGATTTAAGTATGAATCATTTGTGAGCTACACAAATGAAGATCAGATCTGGAGCTCAGAAAAGAGACCTAAATTGGAGATAAAATTTTGAGTTTTATCGGTTTCTAGGTGGTAACCAAAGCCTGTTGAATGAGATCACCTGTTATGGAGATTGTGAAATGAAAAGAAAAAAGGGCCCTAGGACCAAGCCTTGAGGAGCTTGTAGAAGAGAAAGAACTCACAAAAGAGACTGAGAAGGAACTGCCAGAGTGGTAAGGGGAAAACCAGAAGAATGTAACATCACAGGAAAAATACCGCTTTGATACTGGGGTCAGTATAATTCTGACCATCTAGCAAATGTAAAAAAGTGGCAGATTAGGTGTATAAAATGTAAGAATTGGCAAGGTATCACAGAAGTACTGTAGTCTGGTCTTTTCAGATGTAAAGATAAATACCTACCGAGGGAAGTGAAGCTCACAAGTAACCTATGGCATAGCCAGGACTTCTCAAACAGAAGTATTGTTTTCCATTAAAAATAATTTAGAAAGTTGCCACCCCTCATTTGAATGTTCATGATTATTGTAAAGAGCATTCCTCAGAGGAAACAGGTAAGTTAAGCTATTACCATTTTAAAGGAAATTGAGGCATTAGAAAGTTAAAAAGATCTTGTAATCCCCAAGATTGTCATTTTTACCCCATCTACCTAGACTTTCTTGGAATATTTAAATGCTTTTTTTCATTTTCACTTCATCTTCAACCACCCCATACTCCTTCCCATTTTTACTTCAAAGATTTTCCTCCCCTTCGGTTTGGTGACTCTTCTGTCCCAATTATTCTGATGAGAGTTCAGAAATCATGAAAATTAAAAACATCTCATTTCCATGTTCAATGTCTACCTCTGAAAGTTATTTTAGTCAATGCAATGGCTGTCAACCTACCAGAGGGACAAATCTAAGCTTTACTGCTAAAAATTTAAGGGTAAATTATTCTTAACTCTATTATCCACCTTTATATTTGAGAATCAGGGTAAATCAGAAGTGTGGAGTGTTTATTCTACACAGAGTAGATTAGGAGTTGTATGAGCCCATTAAAGTCTCAAGTTCAAAATTATCTTTTTTAGTTTAGTGTCTAAAATCCCCCCCATTAGTGATTCATTGTACTCTTTATAACTCCTGTTAAATGCCAATCACATTCTTGAAAGAAATGAAAACCTAAATCTATTTTGTGAATAGATTTGTTTTATTTCCACTTTTTGAAGCACTTTGGATGAGATCACCATGAACCTGGGTGGGTGAAGAGATTGCTAAATGTGGGACAAAAGGCACAGAAAGATAAGGTAAGTAACAAGAGAAATATTATCTACTTCAAAATTTTGTCCAGGGCCCACACTCTAAGAAATTATACTTTTGGAACTCTAGTTATTAAGTGTCCCACCCACTGATTGTTATCCACATTTGGCAGCTTTGTTTCTAGGTCAAGAAGTAAGCATGTTCTTATGGAGTCTTCTCTTGGGAGACTAAATTTGTGCACAATGTACCAAGGAGTTTGTGTCACCATAAAAATAAGTTTTTTCCTATACTATAAACATAGCTCTAGGAAGAATTTGGTATTCAAACTTCAAAATAGGAGTGACTCTAAAAATACTTTATGCTAAATGAAAGATTATTCTATCATAAATCCAGCTAAGTGCTCCTCATCTCTGGTCTAAAGGTACATATTTTAACATTGTGCCTGGAAAGGAGAATGTGAAGACTCAAAATGATATTTAAAATATATAAATCAGGGCTGGCCCGGTGGTGCACTGCTATAGTGCGCTGCTTGGGAAGTGTGGCGGCGCTCCCGCCGAGGGTTCGGATCCCACATACAGACCGGTTCCTGCTCACTGGCTGAGCGAGGCGCGGGCGCAGCACCGAGGGCTGCGATCCCGTTGCCGGCCCCGGTCCAGTATGGGGGCGACACTGAGGGTTGCGATCCGTTGCCGGACACGGAAAAAGACAAAAAGACAAAAAAAAAAAAAAAAGAAAGAAAGAAATACTAGCAGAAAAAAACTTTAAAATAATTGTTAAATACCCCACTAATAATAAAGCTGGTTTCCCTAACAAGGTACTCAATTTTATCCTTAAGATAAAACACCAAACAAGCTTAAATTGTTACAGAATGAAATTTTATTGCAAGGAAGTAACAGTAACGATGAAAAGGGCATTGGAGATCCAGAA